CATAAATCAGGTGCAAATATGCGTGAAAATATTTCAAATGCCGTTGTGCTACCGTGCTCCAGGTCACACCGCACATGATATACTCCAAATTGCTGATGAAGAGCTCTGCAATCTCCGAGACTTATTCAGGAGGGTTCTTCTTAACAGGTGATCAAAGATGGACCCTGAAGTGCTCCGAAAATAAGAGCATTATTGAAAACTCTGGCCATTTGTAGTGGTTTGACTGTCAAGTCTAGGTCAATAAGCTTCCGAAAACCATGGTGGAATAGACGCCCCAAGGACGAGATTGTGATTTCGAACTTCCTACAACCCCAGACAAGTATTAATGCAGTAATCCTGATTTGCAACTATGACAAAACTGCGAGAAAAATCTGTGTAGCCTTCATACCAACACAAGACAAGCCATCGAGCATGCGATAAGATCTATAGATCAGGTGGGACGAGCGCGATCACTTGTCGTGGTATCACGGTACTCTAGGTTACACCGCACAAGACTCCTTCATGTTTCTGATAGAAAGCCCGACAATCGGGCAGACTTGTTCAGGACGTTGGTCAATAGGTCTTCTTTACGGGGCATCAGAGAATTACCCTGAAGCAGTGACATAATGGGCCGAAGGGCTAGGAGAATTTTGAGAATGTCCTTGACAATAATTTGAATGTCAGTTTAGGGACTACATCGAAGATTTGAAGTTTACCGCAACCCGTTGGAGATGCACGCTTGAAATACTGCATGGTTGTGGGTTCCTTGCAGCCCCGGATCGCAGTCATCGTGTTATGCCACTCTGACAATCGGCGGGATGAGGTGCAGGGACGGGGCAAGATTAAGGTTAACGTTCTATCTGCGATTCGGTCAGCTCGCGTCCTTTGCGGGATTAAGGCTGACTAACAAACCAAATAAAAGAATGAATCTTGCTTTACGCTGCCTTGATTTAGACATGTCTTTACCACGAAAAGAACGATATCTGAGTACTGCTAGAGTAAGCATTGAGCGCTGAGCGCTGAACTGTCATTAGACCCTAGGCACAGAAGCTCCTTGGAATCGGCCATATCAAATGGTCCTGACACTTTCATGAAGATGAACAAATGCTACAATGAACTTGGGATGTGTGGCGTGGGTGGCGAATCGGCCGTTTGAGGGAATGCACTTGTGGAAGTCATCAGAGTAAAAATCTTGCACGCAGAAAGACTAGTTCCGAGGTCGAGAATACTATACGTCGTATCTTTGCAGAAAGCTTCAGAACGAGAGATCCGGCGAGTATATAGAAATTCCCTCTCGAGGCGCTGGGGGTCAAACATGCTATAAATGGTCTCACAATCCGAGCCTTGAAACCCCCAAGGAAAATTTGATTTTACATTGGACCGACACTTCGGCCCAATCTGTCAAGGCGAGAAGCTTGACTGTGACGAAGATAGTTAGAATTAAATGAACGTTGTGCATTGGCTCTAACCTTCCTTGCAACCTCACTCGGATGCAGCACAGTGAAGACCTACGGTTGAATAGAAATCCCCGAGCCGAAAACCCGTTCATCCTTCTTACAATGACGTAGCTGCATAAAGTCTTCCCGGGAATGGCAAGGAACATTGAACGTCGGTGATACTGGAAGCACATACATATGGCGTACATATTGTAAAATTGGCATGCAAAGCTCCCCAAGCTCCCCTGTGACCCACGGCCTTCGATGATGCCGTATAATGAACCGATATCGATAGTAAATCAGTCGAAGTAGTGGAAGGATCTTTCTCAATGCATGGCGCGATTTTGCACGATAAAACTGTATTGCGATCCCCCTTCTCAGGCCCAGAACACTCGATCTGATAACGAAATCTGTTCTCAATTCAAGCTTTTTGGCATCATATCGCATCAACTATCAGTATTTTGAGAACAAACACTCTGTGTGTATCACACACCAGCGTCTGACTGGGACTAAATTCAATATTCAGCCTCCATTTCGGACTCGCCGAGACGTCCGGATGCATAACTGCCTCGCCGCGCGTCAAACGCGTCGAATCGAGTCATAATGACTCCTGCTTCGTTATGTCGATGGACTTGGATAATGCGGAAAGGAAGAACGCTTCTGGCGCGCCACGCCGTGAGCAGCGAAAGTACACAATCACGATGGACCGAAGCGCCGTGTACCTTGGCTGGGATCACGATCATCCCCCGAAGGAGGGGGAATCTCAGGAATCCTCCTTGCGGAATGCGGAATTGACATGGAGCCATTGAACGTTCGAACCCGGATCAGCTCCGACGGTAACCATACATTGGAGACTATGTAGACGCCGATGAGTACGGTGTCCCTGTGGATGACAGAGATAAAGGATGTGCGCGTCCGCTTGAACCGAGCCGGATGAATGCCGTGTTCCTGACTCGAACCGCTCGAACTGCTCCGTCTCTGAGTAGGAAGGCAGGATCCAGGATACGTAAGTCGTTAGACGAGCATATCTGATGTCAGAACATGATAAAGTAATGGCTTCGGCCGAGGGAGAATCACAGGATAAGAAACCCTTGAGAACGTGTGCCTAACTGTGTAGATTCCTAAATTTTGTGAGGGACGAGGCAGAAAGACGGAACTCGGGATTCGTTGGGGCAATCACGAGCCGGAAACGCTATGGGATATTGGTGATTTTAGGTCTGCAAAGGACTCGGAAAGATTCCAAGACATCGGCAAGGTTTCGGGGACACAAGTACGTGGTTGTACTTCAAGCAGGATGATAGCTTGCTGCGAGAGAGTCTCCAAGTTCTTAAATCGTACAGGTCGTTCGATGTGCTCACAGATCGGATTACAGACGTCCACATAATCCATCCCAAGGCGCTTGAAAGACTCTTTGTGGCCTTCAACAATGCTAACGACAGGCCCGTCTTGTGTCACCGCGCAAATACACAGAAAATGCTCATGTTTCACGGGACAGACCACTGTTGTTCGGGTCCTTGCGCGTGCCTCAGAAGAGCCTAGTGGTAATAACGAGATCCGTACGACGCAGGCCGAGTGCCTTGACTACGCGTTCCCTGTAAGATCGCATTAGAATGTGAGAATGTGAACTAGAGGGCAACTACACGATAAGATAATGGACCTCCGCCGAGAGAGAATCATAGGACAAGAAAACCTTGAGAACCTGTGTATAATTGTGAGAAGATTCCCGAATTTTGTAAAGAACGAGGGAGAGAGACGGAACTCGGGATTCATGAGGGCACTGACGAGCTATGGATTTAGGTCTTCAGTGGACTCGGCGCAAAAATCAAGGACATCGGCAAAGATTCGAGGACACAAGCATCGTGTTTGTACTTGAGAAGGATAATTGTTTGCTGCGAGGGAACATCTAAGAGAGCGGTTTTATCAGATCGTGCAATGCCGGACAGAGGTGACGCAAAGAGTTCGTTCTGCAGATGAATCTGTCGTCCTTCCTGAGAGACTTCGTACTAAGGACCCACGCGCAGATGGGGGACTGATTGTTAGGAAAGACAAAGAAAGATGTGACTTGAAGCGTATTCATGTTGGTGTTCACCAAGGAAAGCGTGGATCAGTTAGTTGTTGAGCGGGGTCTTCATCAAATAATGTTTTTGTAGATTTTGGAGGACTGGATTGCGCAGGAAGTTCAGCTAAAGCTCAAAGAGACATATCTGGGAGACACGAAGTCCAAGGTCGATGCTATTGGCTTCGACCATATACAGAGATCCAGCCGTAGACGTCCCGGAGATTACGCACAAACGGAAGTTGCGCCAGCACCGAGTATATAAGGTTGGTAATTATTTTCCGAGAGGTCCTAGGTGAATAACATGGGGCGTACTGTAAAGGAGCCCAAGAAACAGAGATAACGTGAGGCGAGCTTCTCACGATACACCAAACTAGCCATTTTACATATAGACGTACAACGAGGCAAGAGTCAATCAAACAAGTGTTATCAAGCTATCGTGTTAGTCATAGGATATGGAGCCATCGACCATGTAGAGGACACCATTCGAACCCTACGATGCGCAGAAAGCTCAGCTAGATTCAAAAGAGGCCGCAGTGGAGAAGAACTTACCTCCTTCATCCCAATAATGCGGACTCCATCGTCGAGCGTCACTCGGCTCCACGGGGCACTATTACCGTCATCCTTGCTTGTAGGTGTAAAGGTGATGGATTTGCGGTGTAAAAACGTAGGATGATCGCGAGTGTCAAAAGAAATGGGAGATTCCTGTGATATGAAAGGCATAAGGAGTCAAAGCGCTTTGATTGTTTAGAAGAGTACTCACGGGGAGGATATGAGCCGACACCCAGTTCTCTACGTTCTTCCTGGACATGTTATCGAATTCCTCTTCGCTGATTGTTATCCCGTCTTCCAACGATCCAGCAGGCCCTTGATGACTGAACATACAAATCCAGAGTGTTAACACCCCCTTGCCCTGCAGATTTGAGTTCAACTCACGGTTTTCGGGCCAAAGCCATGACTGCCTTGTTGGTCGGCGCAAACACTGTCAATCTCTCTCTTTCATCTGCAAAGCGTGCGCTGAGCTCCAGCTCGCGCGCGTACGAGTAGAATATGGAAGCTGAGGGTTCTATTGTCAGGAGGTCGGTGAGAGTGGGTTTCGCGTGAATCAGGGGGACTTCAGCCATTGGGAAGTTGGTATCGGGCAGTATGGGTAGCTGGTCTGCTTGGGACGAGAGAGAGAGGAGAGGGAAGGCGAGGAGAGTGAGAAGGCGAAGCATTGGTGGCTATATTAGAGAGAGATTCTTGCACAGCCACGGGAAGGTCACTTGTATCAAAGCAAAAAACAACAAATGGACAAAGCGCAATCTTCAGTTAATACAAGAACCCTAGACTGCAGTAAATACAACTCGAAAAAGCTCGAATACAGATCAAACGTAGGTTATTCCAAGCGCGTGGGTTCCGCGTGGTAAAACAACCTCCGCTCAAACCTCAGACGAGTCACCAGAAGATCATCATAGCCAACACCAATCCGGTTAGTCCTGGACCAAAACGTTCATCAGTTTAAAAGATTCATCATGCAATTTTCAACATTCGGATACGGGGAATCGAACCCCGAGCTGCCGCGATCACAGATGTAAACATGAGAGGCGGCAATGTTAGCCGTTACACCATATCCGATTACGAAGTAGCAGTTCAAAATGAGACACATTCCGTTATCAAGTTATTCTGTCATTGAAATTGTTCAGATGCATATAGCCTGTACATTTCAATGTTTCGTTGAACAATTCCCACCTACCGCTGTGGTCCTCTCAATGCGCAAGATACTTGGATGAATATTCAACCAAACGACGCCTATTGTCCCGCGATCAAATCATGAATCAGCTCTGACGCGCCAATTGGTCAGCATCGCACTATAAATAAGAGCGCCCACTGACACAGGACGGCAAAGATTAATAAAACTTCCGCCCTACCTCTCGAAAATCAATCATGAGCAACCCGACTAACGAGCCTGTCGTTCTCCACGAGTTCTCCCCTAGGAACATGCCATTTAGGCGCCTCGGCGCCAGTGGCCTGCGCGTCCCGGTCTTCTCGCTCGGGGGGTGTGAGTCGCAACTTTGATGATGTGATAGAAGACCAGAACCACTGATCCGTTGGTATGCTTAGGGCTGACCCTCGGCGGATCGGTCGTCGGCGATCCTGTTAAGGTCGATTTGCGTTCGGACTCTTGCGATGGTGAGGTCACTGACAGTGACGCGCGTGCGCGTGTTTGTGTTATCAGGAGATCATCAAGACCGCATTCGATGCTGGGATTAACATGTTTGACACGGCGGAGGTGTACTCTAGTGGAAAGTCTGAACTCGAGATGTATGTTGGTTGGCCATTATCCTTGAGTCCACATTTTCAATTCTAACGCGATCTTACAGGGGACGCGTAATTAAGGAGCTTGGTCTGCGTCGTACGGACCTCGTTATCACCACCAAGCTTTTCTGGGGCACGCGCAAGGGCCCGAACGACAGTGGTTTGTCCCGTAAACAGTGAGTTGATTGTCTTCTGTATATCTGCGCGGTTGACTCAAGTCGAGTTGTCTCTAGCATCGTCGAAGGCACGAAAGAGTCTTTAAAGCGCCTTGGAATGGATTATGTGGACGTCATATTTGCACATCGTCCTGATAATACCGTGCCCATGGAGGAGATTGTCAGAGCGTTCAACTGGGTGATCGATCAGGGATGGGTATGGTCTTTCTGAGTCTTTCTTTTCTTGTATTGACCTTTTAAGGCGTATTACTGGGCCACATCTGAATGGAGCGCTCGGGAGATCGAAGAAGCGTTCCGTAAGTACTCCCATCCATTTCTCTCGCGACTGCTCAGACGACAGCGATTTCTAGATGTCGCTGAGAAGTTGAACCTCGTGGGTCCTATTGCCGAGCAATGCCAGCACCAGTTTGTCCCTCGCTTCCTCGTAGCTCATCTGAGACTTACATCTTCTCCAGCATGTTCCACCGCGAACGTCCAGAGAAGGAATACGAGTGCGTTCGCCTTCCCTACTCTTTTTTTCCTCCTGATTAACACTGCCCAGCCCCCTCTACCGGAAATACAGCCTTGGCACCACGACCTGGTCTTCGCTCGCCGGCGGACTGCTCACTGGGAAGGTACGTCGAATGTCACTTTCGATCCAGCACAGCTCCTCACAGTGTTTTGATGTAGTACAATGAGGGGATACCTGAAGGCTCGCGCTTTGCTACTACACCCATGTTCAAGAGCACTGTCGAGTCTCTCCAGACTGAAGAAGGCAAAGAGAAGATTCGCAAGGTGAAGGAGCTCACTAAGCTCGCTGCTGACGGTACATCTTGTCGTTTCCTTATCGAAGTACATCTCTTCTGACGATCTTGCTTTCTCGGCAAATTGTAGAACTGCAAACTACACCTGGGGCGCTAGCGCTCGCGTGGGTCGCAAAGAACCCGAATACGTCGACGGTTATACTCGGTGCGTCGACGCCTGAGCAGCTGAAGGAGAATTTGAAGGCTGTCGAGGTGCTCCCGAAGCTCACAGAGGAGATCATGGCGAAGATTGAGGGTATCTTGAAGAACAAGCCGTCGCCACCTGTATGTTTTTTTGTGCTTTTTGAGTGTAGGGTTGCTGAGTTTGAGTTGCGGCAGATCAACCATGGACGACCTGCGCTTGATATATACGGACGTCTTTGAGTGACGCTTGTGGGTCTTTTGGTTGTACTATGTTGAGCTCGAGGAAGACTATTAGGCGTGGTGGAGAAAGAAAATATGGAAGCACGATCTTAGTAGCAGAATCTATGCTTTTATATGGAGTTGCAAGACTGTTCAAGCCCTGCTGCCTCAAAGTCGGCTTGCCTTCATAACAAGGTACATAAATGTGGGTAGGTAATACAATCGGATATGGTGTAACGGCTAACATTGCCGCCTCTCATGTTTACCTCAGTGATCGCGGCAGCTCGGGGTTCGATTCCCCGTATCCGAATTGTTGCTTGCTAGCTGAATCTTATTTTCGTCTTTTGAATCTCCTTACAAAACAAATGAGCAAAGTTGCGGTCCAGTCATCTATTAGGGGTATTGACCGGATCGGTGTTAGGACGATGATCTTCTGGTGGCTCTGACGTTTGAGCCGACGTGTTACGGAGTGTTTTGTCAACGTTGTTTTACCGCATGCATTGAATACTTAATTACCTATCGATGAACACATACTCAGGATAGTCATTACCACGCGAGTCAAAAAGCAGTTTCCTATTTCGACGCGTCGAGGACGCGACTGGTCAGGTGACCTCAGTAACAGCCTGCCCTCAATTGCATCGTGACACGTACAGCTTCCTGCTTCAAGACTCCAGATCGCTGAAAGAGAGCCTTTAGAATCCATTACGAGGCTAGGAGTGGCCTTATTGTTGTTTGAAAATTACGCTATGGTCTGTCGCGATACGACTGCTTTGAAAGCTCGGAAATCTAACTAAATCTCGCTTCATTGCTTCAGGTTGTTTTAGCAGCTTCGATATGTACAAAAGGCGGCAAAGGTGAGCAGCGTAAATTAATGAATAGGAGTCTATATTGACTTGGTTATCGTAGCCGTCATTTCTCGTCAATTCCGGGACATGACACGCGCGAGGATTGAGTCTCTTCTTGCGTCGTTTCCCAAACTCATTCCGGCAAACACTCAACACACATCGGTCGAAACTTCCGACGTTCGATATGTCTATCAACCGCTAGAAGACCTCTATATACTCTTGATAACGAACAAGGCTTCGAACATCTTGCAGGACATCGATACACTGCATCTTTTTGCACGCGTCGTCTCGGACCTCTGCAGGAGCGCAGATGAGCGCGAAATCCAGAAGAATGCATTTGAGCTTCTTGGGGCGTTTGACGAGATTGTGAGCATGGGATACCGGGAGAACGTTAATCTGATGCAGGTGCGGAGCGTGTTGGAGATGGAAAGCCACGAAGAGAAGATACAGGAGATAATCGCTAGGGTGTGTCTGCCGGATCACTCCTCGTGGTTCAAGTGGCTTACGCACTTTTGCAGAATAAGGAAGCGGAAGCGAAAGAGGAGCTCAAACGCCGTGCGAAGCAGCTTGAGATGCAGCGCCGGGAACAGCAGCGACGAGCGGCAGGCGCAGGCGGCAGCAGCTATCTCGGCAGCGGCAATTCTATGTATTCGCCCGTGCCGCGCTTTGAAGCCCCTGAAACACCCGCGCCCATCACACGCACCACTTCAACGCCTGCTGCTCGCGCGCCGGCGTTCAAGGGCACGGGCATGAAGTTGGGTGGCAAGAAGACGAAGCAGGCGGAGCTGATCGATGCGCTTGGCGGCGACGTTGCCGCGAGTGTTGCAACTTCGGATCTCTCTGTCCCTCCGACACCATCAGCCTCTTCCCAGCCCCAGCATCCAACTGCTCTAAAGCACGACGGGCGCGGCAGCTTGCCAGAGGTCCACGTGGAGAGGTATGGTTGTCTAGTACACTTTCCACGTTTGATACTGAATGGCATTGTAGCGTGCACATTGCCATCAAGGAGACAATTTCACTATCCCTTATGCGGGACGGGGGCGTGGAGTCGATGGAGCTCAAGGGTGACATGAATCTCCAGATCACAGACGCGGCTCTCGCGCATTTGCAAATCACACTATCTTCGCCTTCGACTGATTTCGGTGGAAACAACCTGCAGTTCAAGCAGCACCCCAACGTTGCCAAGTTCGTACCGGGTCAGGAGCGAGTCGTTTCGCTTAAGGACCCTTCGAGGGCGTTCCCAGTTGGCCAGAGTTTGGCTGTGCTCAAGTGGAGATACGCTGGCACAGACGAGAGCAACGTCCCTCTATCCAGTAAGCTCAGCCACATAGTCTAACTAAGTTACCTTCTTCCCCTTTCTAACCGGATGCACACAGTCAATTGCTGGCCTTCGCCTTCGAATGATGGGACCTGTGAGGTCAGCATCGAGTACGAACTCGAAAACGAGAACGTCACGCTTCACGACGTCGTCATCTCCATTCCCCTCCCGTAAGTCCGGAACTCGCCCTCCCTAACTCCTAGCTTACCCGTCACTCTCTTTCTCCTAAAAAACCTAATCACAGGGCCGGCTCATACCCTACTGTATCGTCACACACAGGCGAGTGGTCCCTCGACCCGGGCTCACACTCACTGGCATGGTCAATCACGCGTGTATCCGCGGCGGACGACACGCGCTCGGGCTCCATGATTTTCACTGTCGGCGGAGACGACGCGAGCGCGTTCTTCCCGGTTCAGGTGACGTTTGTAGGCCAGGGAAGCCTTGCTGGCGTCGGCGTGGCATCTGTGAGTCAGGTCGGAGGTGAGAGCGTCCCGGCGTTCTCAGTCGATGCGGTTGTTTCGACGGAGGAGTACCTTGTGGTTTGAGCGTGTATGTATGTGTAGAAGGGGTTTTTTTCTCCATACCCAACAAGTCCCGCTGCGTTTGTGGTCTTTGAGAGGGATTGCTTTTGTTGCGATTGATCGGCCATCATCCATTCCGGGCGCACTGATTGATATGTGCATGAGCGTTGACTAGACTAGTCGTGCTTGAGATTTTGGGACGCTTCGCTGGTGCTCAGCGCTCAATGACTGTCGTTGCCGCAGTTGACGCAGTTGTTACTACATGCGCAAGGACAGCTGGTGGTCGCCCTTCACATGGAGCTCAATCCACCTTC